CAATGCAGAACAGGAATTTCACTTCTTTCGTAAAAAAATCGGGATCTTCTTACTTTGATTCGATGTGAATGACTCCAGCCTCCTGTCGGTTTATCGTGATGATCTCTGCCGTAAAAGATAAAAACAGTGTTCAACTGCTCAATTATTCTACTACAAACAAAAAAAATGTTACCTTTGCCTGCCTCTTCTAACCCTGAAAAGTTTTCCCCCAACGCTAAAGCAAAACAGCGAATAAACTGTCACAATCATTTAATGTACATGGATAAAATAGGGCAGGGCATTCCACATCGGGATTTCTGAGTCTCTGAATAAGTTTGTCAAGCTACATTAACAAGATTAGTCTATCTCAAATGACTTTTACACTCGAGGTGTTTTTGGAAAATTCTCGTTGTTTTCATTTAGTCCTCATTACTTTATCCTCAGCCTTCTTATCGTTGTTTTTTTTTTACCCCCGATGATGCTATGCTGGATAATTTAGATACAAAACAAACGGTAATGGGGAATGTTTCATGAACCTTTTTCTGATGGTATAACAATAAATTAGAATTAGTTCTAATTACCTGTGCTTTGGGCTTCCTGCTTTAGATAGCTTTATCATTTCTGGTTGTACCGCGCATTTTCAATTTGATGTAGATTTCTGGATAGATATGGTCGTGGTTTCTCCTTGTCCTGTTCAAAACTGAATTGTGATCATACTCTTTGTTAACACGTAGGGATGCAGAACCTAAAACATACCCAAGTATTTTATACTCACCCAGTTTTAGCGGCCTCACCCTTCTCAACCTTACTACGTCTAAGACCGGTATTTTGTTGATTTGATGGCACAACTGAAGTTAAAAAAAATGTAATAGTACCGGTATGCAAAATTCATTTTGTTCAATAAAATTTAATTGTGTAAATTTTTCAGATCAGGCAATGCAACTTTTGGCCAGAATGGAAAAAAATCATATTTTTAAAAATATTCTTCTATAGGCTTCCCAAGAAGTTTGTTCGCGGTGTGGAGCATCGTGCTAATGGTTCGGTGGCTCAAAAACTAAAAAGTACTAACTAATCAACTAGCGCAGTATGAAAGTTGCCAGTCGATATTAAAAGTTTAGGAAATGACACTCAAAACCAGGTTCTGCTCTAGCTGCACAAAAAACTAATTCAATGTGCCGTGCCGGAGAACTGAAATATAATTTTCAATTCCAGAAAGAAAAAGTTTTCTCGCGGAATGCGCCATTAGTCTGCGATTGACTATCGCGTGACGTTTGATGTCCCGGACTCGGGTAAAATCATCAAAGACTCGGGCCGAATCCGAGTATCAAATTAAGAGAGATTCGGCCATGAATCCGAATCTTGTCGCATCCCTAAAAAGCTGCAATGCATAAAAAAGCCACATAGTCATTCTTTATTTAGCACAGTGATTCCCAAAGTGGGCGATATCACCCCCCGTTGGGCGATAACGCTACAGAGGTGGGCGGAAAAGTCGAAGGGGGCGATTTCTAGAAACCTGTTTTTGTACGACGCATCGTGCACCTGATTACTGTACTCTGCGTGCTTTCGTATGTTTGAATCACGTAGGCAATTATCACACGCGAAAGGATTGCTGGACTTGTCTTCGCAGTAAGATACGGTCAGAAGGTCGTTTCTGTATCCCAGTAGTCGGCAAAATACGGCGGCCGAAGTAATATAATCAGGCCCGGGACGCTCCACTGAATGGACCGTTCCCCGACCTTTGACCCCGGAAAATTTTTCCTATACTTCATCATTTTAAAATTTTCGATGCGTATTTTAAGAGTGGTTTTGCGAGTTGTTGCCTGTAAAACGGGCTATTTGTTTCAAACTATCATTCTAATTCATACCATTCAACAATCTGTTTTTTAAAAATACCAGTAAAGAATTTTAGCCTAGTCTATCAAAGATATTTCTACACCAAATTTTTGCCTACTGTAAATAAACTGAAACTTCTGGGGAGACAAAGTGATCATTGACTTTTATTATTATTTATTTATATTTGAATTTCCGAAAAACAACTAAAAACTAACGAATATAATTCAAAAACGCCAAAATGAGGTAAGTTTCACAACACGCCTGAAAATCTGTCTGAGCGGATGCAAAAGAGGGCATTGTTACGTTTATTTTTGCATCTTGCTGAATGGCCAATGTCACGAAGTAAACAAGGAAGTCTATGCCCGGGGAAACATCCAAACGGCGGTTTTGGCGATGAATTAATTTTATTTACAATCTAGGCTAGAGTAGTAAATTACATTTTTTTTATGTAACAGAATTTATCGTGAGGCACGTTCAGACAAAATTTTATTATATCCCCATAATTATATTGAACAGCTTCTCGTTTAACGAGTCTACATTTCAATTATAATTAGACAATAGGAAACACGCAGAAAAGTTGATGCTGAGTGCAGGGGTTCAATAGCGCAGTAAATATTAGAATATATTGCAATGCAATAAGGAAATAAAATTCATATTCTATTCGAGGGATTCATCACTGCTTAATTTTTGTGAGATTGTATCTTCTTAAAGAATATCTTCATCAAAATTTGACAAACCTTGTCATTTCGATGTTTGGAAGTACATATGTGTGCGAACAATTATTTTCGAAAATGAACATTACAAAGAACAAGCTAGAACTAGGATTAGTGATGCCCATTTAGAAAATCTTACAATCTTGGCGTCGTAAAGCTATCAAGCGTGATGCAGCAACAAGACAGTGTCACATTAAATGTCATTGTAATAATTTTTTAATAAGACGACTGAGTTGAGTTCACGAATTGTCACGGTTTTTGCCCGCAGTTCCGTTTTTAACTTTCAAAAAATATATGCGACCCGCAAAAGATTAGCAACCCTAAATGTAAAATGGGGTGAATTTAGGGAGTTAAATGCTATAAGGCAAGAGTACACGGCGGTTTTTAAGGAGGTAGAACCTTAGATTCTTTCATTTCCGACCGCTAATATGATGGGGGGTTTTCAGCTGTGCTACTATTGCTATCAAAACAACGAAATCGCCTTTCCATCATGAAACAGGGTAATTTTGGATATTATAAATAAACTCGCTGAAGAACAACAAGCTCATCCATCTCATTAAAAAATACTATAAACTATGATTTGTCTCGTTATTCGGTCAGTAATATATTCGTTTCAGACTTTACATTTTTTTCGCAGTGCCGGGGAGGGAGTGGGGGCGATGAACTTGTATAAACTACTGTAGGGGGGCGATGGTACAAAAAGCTTGGGAACCACTGATTTAGCAAATTTTTGTTCCTTTGAGAAGATTGTAAAAAGCAAATTTCTTTTGTTTTTTTCAAGATTTACGTATTCGAGTCACCATCGATCCTAATAACCAGTATAATTAATCAAAGCTTTCTACATCTTTTCACGACCCACTACAATTCCTTTTGCACCCACCAGAGGGTCGCGACACATAGTTTGGCCCTAGTGATGTTTACTTGTAGCGTAATATTCAATCCATAATAACTACGGAAATTCAAACTGTCTTTAAGTTTTAATCTAAATGTGTTCAACTCGAGATTGCTTTCACATGATGAGGCGACCCAAAAAAAAAATCAGGCCAAAAATTCAGCTCTAGAAAAGCGACTTATTCGCCGGGAAATACGTTAAATTAAAAAATGATCCTGCGGGACACTAATGTGCGCGGCGCGGCTCAACGGGCTAAGAGTTAGGAATACGCTCGCCACTGCACCTCTAATTACTCTGCGTGGGTTCGAATCCCATGCAGGGATGGTTATGTGCGAGAGGATTGCTGGACTCCTCGCCGTCGTTGGGTGGTAACGGCCTACTCCACCACCAAGTCCATGCTTCCGAAAAACAATCAATATAACTAATCCCATACCCTACTTGGAATGATAACCGGACGAGAGGCCGTGGTTCGCCATATGGATAAGCAGTCTTATCGGCTTCCCTCTCCCCCGGGATAAATATGTAAATCCTAATGGCCAGCGGCACCCTAGTTGGGAACCACTGGAATAGACGATAACGATACAAATGATCCGAATTTAGATTTTTTTTGTACAGCAAAAAGAATAATGAAATAGTCTGTCGTTTCCAAGCATTGAGAATTTACTTATTTGCCCAAGCATGCTTTTCTGTAGATAACAACTTTGAAAAACCGTTGTTCAATGTTACTTACATTCACGTGAACGTCCGAACAGGACCAATTAGAATTGATTTTACATGTGATACGTTCGTTTACAATGATTCAGATATTTATTTCCTTCATGCATGAAATATTACATTATTAAAACAAAGAACACAAAAATAATTCTATTGGAAAAAAAAAATAACACAATATTTCGATTGCAATTGACGAGGAGCCGCGAATAAACTATAAAGTCGTCGTGTCAGCGACACCAAAATTGCCGTGGTCAGCAGCAGATGACGTCAAATAACTAGTATTTAGAATACATTTGGAAAATGTGGATCGAAGGTAAAACGTCACTTAGGAGAGAATTGTTTCAAAGGAAAATAAGTTAAAACGAGAGAGTCAGTCGGAAAAGGAGTTTGTACCGTCAATTTATTTTCGTAGCGTCATGCTCGGGTGAACACAGTATCAACGACGCTGCGTTGCTGAGATAAATAAAAGGGGGAATTCCCAGCAATGTCACTATACGAATATGAAGATTAGTTTTGAAGTTAAGGCTACATAAATGAAATGAGATCAGGGCAGTAGAATTAAATATATAAGAGATTACGCAATATTGAATCATAAAGAAGAAATTTAAGACATCAAAGCTTGTGTAATAAAGGTGAAAATATTCAACAACAATGAAAAGGAATGATATGCAGCAATAAAAGCATCACATTTGCAAAACTGGCATCAAGAACCCTATCAGAAATGACCAACCTGGTGACTGGCAAATTACTGAATGTTATAAGCATTGAGGTACAGTTTTTTTAACTCTATTTTGAACGTATTATAGGTCTTGGAGCGGATAGTAACTGGGAGCATATTCCAAAGTTTTATGCCCATGTACTTTATGGAATTTTGTGTACGACTGGATGAATAGCGGGTCATAAAATAAAATGTTAGCGGGAAACAACGAAACAAACAAAATAACGCATTCACCTTCAGCAAGTACGCTAGCGTTGCGCTATACAGCTATGAGAACATGTTTATGCTGGATGGCTGAACGCATTAAGCGGGACTTTCGACTGACTTGTCGGGACGAGGCGCTAAAAAGCGGGACGTATGGTAAGCCTAGTTATACATATAATCATGGAAAATTTTAACATCCTCTCGCACATAGTTATCTCCCGCCAGCAAACGAACCCATGCAGGGTGATCATAGGTGCAATGGCAAGTATATTTGTAACGCTTAGCACGATGCGCCAAAGTGATAAAAACCATGCTGTCGTACATTGAATGGAATGAATTTATATTTGTTGTCAATTACTAAGGGCCACTACCATATCTTCAAAATTTGTTATGTGGTTTCATTTAGTTTGATAATTGACACAAGTCATGGCCCATTACAAAAAATAAGATTGACCGAGTACAGTGTGTTTAGTTTGAACTGAATTTTTCGGAATATCTTTCTACCAATTTGTATGAGTGAATCATGTTTTACAAAAGTAGGTCGTTTTGTTTCGAGAAAATACTTGGATCACATATTTGAGGAAAAATCAAAAAAGCATATTCTTAATGATTACTGAGGCATATAGACGTTACAAATCATGGTCCAAATAAACATCAATAAAAACCAAAGTCTGTAGACCGCTACTTAATCCATTTATTCTCTTATATCCTTATATCACCAGGCTTTTCATGGCGTGTTCTAATATGTGTTCGCAAGTGGGGTTGTCGAGTAAAGCTTTTATCACAGTTTGGGCATTCATAAGGTTTGTATCCAAAATGAGTAGTCCTCAAATGCTCTTTTAAAGTTGATTGTTGAGAAAAATGTTTTGAGCATTCAGTACACGCAAATGGTTTTTCACCAGTGTGTTTTCTAATGTGCTTGCTTAATCCTGAGTAGTCTGTGAAGCTTTTATCACAATGTTTACATTTATAAGGTTTAACACCTGTATGGATTCGCTTATGAACATGTAAATGACATTGACGAGTGAAGTATTTCCCACATTCTTCACATTTGTATGGTTTTATGCCTGTATGGACTTGCATGTGAGCTGTCAAACTGCATTTCTGAGTGTAAGTATTCCCACAATGTTCACATACATGTGGTCGTTCTCCGGTGTGAGTAACATTATGCCTTTCCAGAGCATACGCTCCTACAAACGATTTTCCACATTTGTCACATTTAAACGGTTTTTCGCCTTTATGAGTAACCATATGAGTTTGTAAATCCTCCTTTATACTAAACAGCATCTCGCATTTTGTGCACGAATATCGAGTTTTTCTGTAATGGGTTTTGACATGTTTATACATGCTAGATTGACATGTGTATATTTTGCCACATTCTTTACATGTAAACTGCTTTTCCTTATGATGGTTTACCATGTGTGATCTCAAAGAATATTTATTCTTAAACTGCTTCCCACATAATAAACACGGAAATGGATTTTCACTTGATTGTTTTTCCTGCTCGACCGATTCTTCTTCCATGCCAACTGCCTTATTAATATCATTCATATTTTCATCCCAAATAGGCATTTTATATATAGATTGTTCTGGGGATTTACTGGAATGTTCACTCTTCACCTTTGGTGTATCAGAAACTCCTGTTTTTAAAGATCGTGAACTATTTTGATCAGAATTTTCTTCGCTAGTGTGTCTATTGAAGTCTGGTTCAAAGTTTTTATCATAAATATGAGCCAACAAATGTTGTTTCCATTCAGACTGGGAGGCAAAATCTATGTCACACTGTAGACATGAAAATGTAGAATTGTATGATTGCTCTGTGCTGTTGAATGACTCATCATTTTCAGTGTCAGGTTGCGAATCCATCTTTGTTCCTAGAGTTGTTCTACTAGATATTGTCTGAATTTTGTTTGTTCACGAGTGCATGACAGATAACCAAATAATAAACTGGCTGAAACCAATAAAATAACACAATGGTAATCATAGGTGTAAAAATATTATTTGGGACGGGACAGTTTTTGCAAACATAGACTAGCGTGGGCACAATAGCATAAGCGTTGAAATTCACAATATCAGAGTTCCAGTTTAGGTACATGCGTTCAACTCCGTCCCCTCTTTTCATTACAAAGTATAATGAAGCAAAAGTTGGTTTTGAAAATGTAGTAGCTGCTCTATATCAGTGACTGCTCGTACAGGGCACAAAGAGGTAAAAGTATGAAAATTTCAATAAATCTGACACACAAATTGATACAGTTTTCAGATACGTTATTATTTATTATTCATTCCAAATAACCGCCCTGGTAGATGATAGTTTATTTTAAAGACTTTGGACTACACAAAAGGTAAAAATGAAGGATCCTGGATAAATACAGCAGTTGGTGTTATGAATATAACCTATACTGTTTAGTCATTCAACATTTTCTGCTTCAAATTGAGATTAAGTAGGTAGTTGAGTTTATTTTGAAGACGCCGGAATACGCACAATTTAGAAATAAAGAATTCGCAGTTTGTTTTATGAATATAACCTATACTGTTTAGTAATTCAATATTTTCTGCTTCAAATTGAGAAAAGAGAAAAAGTAGGTCTCGTGGACTATGATATTGAAATAAATTAGGTAGCTAATTTAGAACTGGAAAAATCCAGTTATTCAAAAAATAGTGCGTGCTTATACAGTCTTGTGCGAGTGAAGAAAAAAACTTGAGGAAAATGGCAATTTATTTCAATAAATAAATTGGGTAGTCAATTTCAAACTGGGAAATTCCAGTCATTCAAAAAATATTGGCTGCTCATACAGAGTCTTGTGGGAGTAGATATGCCCCAGGACAGAATAAAAAACTTGAAGAAAATGGCAATTTATAAGAATTAAAAACAATTTTTTCTGTTATAGCTAATAGTGTGGGTGCCATACCCTCTAAACTGTGGTGTTATACCGAGTTACACATCACAAATTCTTCTAATCCTAGGCCAACTACCTCACTCAGGGTGTGATCGATTGCGTAGGCAATGCCGAGCCGGAAAGATTATTCTTGCATATTGTCAGATATCAGTGGCTGCTTTGTTTAAAGCAGGAATTTCATTATATGAAAAAATAGTTACTCGTTTCATTTCATTTATCAATTTCTAGTTTACAGTCAAATCCGAGTAACATGTAGAAACATTCACAAAATTGGTTCAAAGATCACAATGCTTCATTCTCAGATGTGCAGTTCGGGCAGATTTCTGGGAAAAACGTTTTTCACACAAATGGCACCCGAAAAGTCTTGCACCATTATGCGAAAGTTTATGTCTTCGAACACAGTACATCCGTGTGAAATATTTCCCACATGGTTCACACAAAAATGGTCTTTCACCTGTATGAGTTTGCATATGTCTTTGCAGAGTAGTTCGCAATGTAAAGCATCGACCGCATGTTTTACAAGAAAACGGTTTCAGACCTGTATGAATAATCATATGTCTTCTTAAACATGATGGGTCTGTGAAAGCCTTTCCACACTCTGTACAAATGTGTGGCTTTTCTCCGGTATGTATCATTATATGTTGCTCAAAAACGGACCAGAACTGGAAAAGCTTCCCACATGCATCACACATGAATTTTGGTGGTTGTAAACTTCTTTTTCTAGACTTTTTCACTTTTGGGACGTTTATATTGGACTTGCATATGTCACCTTTGCCACTTTCCTCACATGTTAACGGATTTTCATTTTGGTTGTTTGACCTGAGTTTCCATGAATACTTACTCTTACGCTGTATTACTTTTTCAATTGTTTTCTTCCTCATATCAATTGCCTGGGCTCTTGGTTCGTTTATATTAGACTTGGATATGTCAATTTTGCCACTTTCTTCACATGTTAACGGTTTTTCGTTTTGTCTGTTGGACCTGAGTCTAGAAGAATACGTACTCTCACGCTGTATTTCACTTTTTATTGATGGAATTGCTTTTTCATTTGTTTTCTTCAAATCAAAATCCTGGGCCTTTGGTTCGATTATATTAGAGTCAATTTTGCCACTTTCTCCACATGTAGATGGTTTTTCTTTTGTTTGCTTTCTCAGATCAATTGCCTGTTCAACATCCAAAAGTGTTTTATTCCAAACTGACATTAGGCTCATTGAACTAGGTTGTACTGAGGATTCACAGTAACAAGAATCAATTTCCGTCTTAATGGAAAAAGAACTTCGGGTTCTCATAATTGATGAACTCATCTGGCCTGATTTTCCTTCACATTCACTTTGGAAATTGTGTTCAAAATTGTTATCAACAAATGTTTGTTCCCAATCAGACTGGGAAGCATACTTTAGTACTGTTTTTCTACTAAATATTGTCTAAATTAGAAAAAGAATCACATGCATATGATATTACGAGTTGAAATGCATTGTAGGAAACAAAAAATGGCGTAACAAATAACGAAACAAATAACTATTTGCAAATTACCACCCAAAACATAGAATATAGTAGATGTGTAAAAAGTTATTCGGATATTTAATATGAATTTTCATCCGTGAACACCTGCATAATCATCAATTGATAAAGAACAAATTGTTTAGGTAATATTGATTGTCTGGCAAACGTATATTAGATCAAGATTTCTCAAACTGAGCCCTCGGCTTCATTGGGGTCCACAGAATGGTTTTCTGAAGCCCATGAGCAAATTATTAACAAAAGGGCTATGCTCAAGTATATGGACACGAAAAAGTAATATCTAGCGAAAAATACAATCTTTAACCACTGAAAATTTATCCAGTAGTTATGAAAACAGTACTGTTTTATAACGAAGAAAAATACTATGAACATAATTAAAACGATACATAGGTCTACTTCATGTTCAATAATGACTACGCAAAATAACTGATGGAGGGGTTAAAAGCAAATCTAGGCATTAAAAGGATCACAAGTATAGAAAAGCCTTGGAAAGCGCCATGGATTATATAAATTTGGAAAGAAATTGGACAAATGACCGAAGCATTCGACTTAGATTTTTTGACTCAGAGGATAACCACCCTTGACTTGGTCATTGATTGCGTTGGGTGGGTAATACCAACACAGAAATATACAGTTCCTTTACAAGTATTGCAGCTGCTTGTCGAAGAGTGATGGTTTAAAAATTTATATATAAACTGTTATATGAAATCCACAAATAAAAATTCTCCGCAATACAATAATATGCCATTTAAGCAGTGGTATTCAACTCTAGGGTTCTGTCAGTACATTCCAGGGGTTCTACAAGTTTCTATACAAATTCGACAGTCTGTATTAATATAGGTATTGTTCTCAAATAAAATTACTTATTAATTAATTTGTCACTTTTATTAAACTTTTTACACTTCGAAGATCATTTGGTTTTAACGGTATTAGTTTGCTTTTGTATATATTTGTAGTCTATACAATTCAGACAAAACAATTAAACTATTGCACAGGGGTCCTTGGAATGCCTCTGGAACTCCACCTAAAAAGTTGGAAACCACTGCATTATAGCAATGCAAGCACAACTGCTATGCAACACAACAATATAGTTACAACTGGAAATAAGTCTAAGAAAAATATGCTCGGTAGTGTGGCGCGTCTTGCTAAGCGCTAGGAGTCTGCTCGCCACTGCAATTTTGATTACCCTGCGTGGGTTCGAATCCCATGCGGGGATAGTTATATACGAGAGGTTTGCTGGACTCCTCGCCGCCGCATGGTGATTCAGGGGCGATTCACGTAACCGCTGGTCGGCTTCCTCTATCAAGTCCATGCTTCAGAAAACAAATAACTGGCCAACTAATCCCATACCTGACATGAACTGTTAACCGTCCCACGAAATAAGTATGTAAATCCGATTCTATACCAATCCTACAGATTAACTTAACGTACATGGGAAATTATATCATTCCCTTCTTACAAGTTCTGTATGCATATATGTTAATTTAATCATATTTAGATAAGGTGTTTGGGGTTATCATAATTTGTAAATATGAATTGAGATTTTGAAATCAAAAACTTTTAAGTGATTCAAGAATCTTGCTGCATGACTCATGAAATCACTTAGGATAGATATTTTACTCTTGCTACAGCATCCTTGCATTATATGCATACAGATCCACTGGCACAAAAGCATGCGGGGAGGACAAATGAATTCAAAGATTTCCAAGTTTATAAAATAACATGTATATTAATAAGTCCATATTTTTTTTACTTTTGACTCATCGCATCTACTGCAGTATTGAGTAATGCATGCAGATTATTTTAAAATGTACCAATAATAAATTATAAATGTACTAATCAAAAAAGAAAGCGAAAATTCCACAATAATAATGAGAGATATATTAAATTGGCAAAGAACAGCAGGTTCAACTAACATCATTATCCACGGCCCAGGGATGGAAAAACGAGGTATTTGCAATTGATCCCTTGTCAACCAAGATAAGCCGCTTTCTTCCTAGTTCAAGGCTAACTATACCAATACAGGGTGATACCAGACGATTGTGGAAGTGCCTATCCATGCGATACCGCATTTCAGGGGGAAGGGAGACCCGCAAAACCAATACTGGACAGCGCCCATAGCCTAACCAATTCATTAGATCCTGTGCAAGGGGGTGAGCATGGGATTTGAACCTGAGATATTGAACCTACAATGCTATCATAGGTACATATAATGCAGTGTTTCCCAACCTTTACCTGGCGCCAATGGTATAAGTATAAGTTCATTCAGACTCCATAATCAGCAATAGACGTAAAAGTAACTGATCATAGAATCGGGAGAGTGAACAAAACCTAGAGTAAGGTTTGAAACGTACAGATTTTAGATGGAAAGGTATTGATAAAAGAAGTAGTATGTGTTCGCTCACCCAAAAGTAAAAAAAACTAATTGAGCCCCGCACGCACACACACACACACAATCATCGAGACATGATAATGTCGAAAGTGAAAAAAACGAAACTTAAAATCAATTAAATTACTCAGTGAAAAGGAAAATATACAAACAAATGAGAAAAAAAATAATAATTTTGCCACACCAAATTAACAATTTTATGAGGATTGCCAAATACCGAATTAGTCAACAAGAGTAATATACTGATATTAGAATAGAAAAGTATTCCTCAAAAGATATCGTCAAACTGATTATAATTGGAGTCAGCGAAAGGGCCACAATGCTAGGTGCATAACTGATTTTACTGTACATTGCATGATTTGTTTCACTTAGTTGGGCATGAATTATTTGAACATAATGGGATTTGGAATTTACCAATCAAAATAACACTGTGAATATCACTGGAAATATAAATAGGGGGCTATGAGTGTTAAAAGGTTGGGAACCCCTGGCATCATCCCGGTTCAGCATTGCCTGCCCAATTTGTTACACTTGCAGAAAATAAGGCTGTTTTATGTTATCCGACGGTCTTTGGTAATTTCAATAAATATTTAGTATCACAGTTCATTCTTGAGCTCAAATCCTGCCCAGTGTAGCAGTAGTATATGCAGAGCCAAAGTTCAGTGGCCGCATGCAACCCATAGACAGCCTGTATAAAATCCTATTTACAACATAAGTGTATACACAAAATATGTGGGTAAATGCCAACCAAATAAAATCGAAATACTACTACGTTTATATTCAATTAATATAAAATAACATACATATAACGTATATATACAAATACACTTATCAAAACCTACCAAACAAATAGACAGTACCAAAAAATAGGTAAATTCACTAATGATTATTTAGCACTATATCTTCAGAGTTGGATAATTTTGGCTGATAACCTTGACACAAGGTCATAATGTGGTAAACGAATTTTTTTTACATAAAATTAGATTTGTTCAAAATTATCCAGCAACAAAGTGTCATAATGAATTCTTTACATCAAGATCCTTAATGCTTCATTCTCAAATGAGAAGTCAAAGCACATTGCTGGGTAAACCGTTTTTTACATAAATGGCATCCAAACGGCTTTTCACCATTATGTGCGAGCCTGTGTCTATGAAGACTATACATCTGTGTGAAGGATTTCCCACATGGTACACACTTATACGGTTTTTCACCTGTGTGAGTTCGCACATGTCTCCTCAGACTAGTCTGCAAAGAAAAGCGTTGTTTGCATTTTTCACATGAAAACGGCTTCTCACCAGTATGAGTAACCATATGTCTAGTTAGACATGATGGGTGTGTAAATGCCTTCCCGCATTCTTTACAAAAATACGGTTTTTCACCAGTGTGTATCATTATGTGTTGCTCATAACGGGAAGGGTATTGGAATTCTTTACCACATACTGCACATTTAAATTTCGGTTTGAATGTCCTTTTTTTAGGCTTTTTCGTTTCGGGTTCAGATTCTGTTGTATCAGTATGGCCATGAGTATGAGTTGTCATGTGTTGAGTCCACTCTACAACGGATGAGAAGTCCTGATTGCAGCGTAGACAGGAAAACTTTGCAACACCGGTACTTTCGGCAGTTTCCTCAGAATCATTTTCATCTTTTGATTCAGGAATTTCTTCCTTGATTTCTTTAATTTTGGGAAGATGGACTTGGTCATTTATTTCATTCTTGATGTGACGGTCACAAACTATGTCTGCTCTTGCTGAAAAAGTTTGGTCTCTTTTATCGCAATGGTTAGAAAAGGAATCCTCGCTTGATGAATGAGTTTGGTTTCTTTCATCGCCCTGGTTAGAAACGGAATTCTCACTTGATGAAAGGGTTTGGTCTCTTTTATCGCAGTGGCTGGACACTGTATCCTCACTTGATGAATAAGTATCGCTAATTATATCATCCCTTATCACTTTTCTATGTTTCAAGATAGGTAACTTAGTTCTTTTCACTCTATTATCCCCCACAATCCTAGCACTGCTGCGCCGGTTTACAATAAGTTTATGATCTTTGATAACCTTGCGATTTTTAACACCTTCTTGCGCAGAAATGGTTCCCATAATAGTTGGTATCGCACCTTCGGTTAACTTTCTTTGTGCTGCTTTATTTTGGGTTTCGTCTGGTGAAACAAAGCATTTTTCATCGAAATGTTGGCTGCAAATATAAGCTCCAGAAACCAAATCCAACTCAAAATTTGTCCTGCTTTTTTGAACAAAATTAAACCATTGAAGACATTTAACAATACTATGAGGAAATCGATGCAAGCTTACTCCGTCTCTGGCAGAATTGTAACAGCCTCCAACAGCACACCTAGATGACATTTCGTATTCGTGAAGTGTTTTCTAAGTAATTTTGTTTAACTAAGATATCAATTTTAACGCAAAGATAAATAATACTTTAGTTTATGATAAAAACACTATTAGAACTGAGAAAGTTCAGGCAGGACTTCAGGGTCATACCGTGCACAGCGCTTGGTGTATTGTAGTAAATATCACCCAGGGAGTGATAAATTGGATGAACAACAATGCAGCTGTTCCGAGCCAGGGGCCCAGTTCGTGAGGTCTACAGTGCTCGGTGCAATAATGGTTGTACTTTATTGAGCATGAATTGTTCGAACATAATGGGATTTGGAATTTACCAATCAAAATAACACTGGAATGATAAACCGGGAGCCATGAATGCTAGGCCACAAGCCATAAAAGGTTGGGAACCACCGCAATAATGCAATGCAGAGATAAATAATATTTGAGTCAATAATAAAAATACTATTAGAGCTGAGCAAGTTCAGGCAAATTGGTCAAATTCAGTCTTCCTATGACTAAAAAAGCAGGCTCTATAAAGCCAAACAGTGCATAGCACTTGGTATGATAAATTAGGTAGGCAATGGATCTTTCCACAATAGAGTAGCAACTTGCATATTAGTGGCTGCCAGTGCAGGGCCTTGTTTAGAGCAAAAAGTGCAATCTTTTTTATTTTCTGTTTTTGTACGGTTCAAAGGAAATTCCGTATTTTATGTAAATTATTCTAAACTTTGGATATTTTGCAGTGAATCCTCTTGTATTATGCAAAATAATAATTAAAATCCCACAATAGGATCAAAAAGGACCTAAAAAAATACCCGAGTATGACTACAGTTCATACTATCTTCCTGGAGGAATAATAAAGGAATGCTTTAAACCTATTAAAACTTGCTTAAATTTTACTTAAACTGTTAAACAATAAATTAAACGAAACATAAAGAAACAACACATAACTTATAATTTTAAAATATGGTCACGTTTTTAATATTAACATTCAAATAAATTAAATAATAGCCAACATAACATGACATTTATAAGATGAAAAACATTTAAAACTTGCACAAAATTAAAAATTGACTTGATACTGCCTGTATGTTCCCTATCTAAACTGTTATTAAACTAAACATAGAAAGTTCAAAGATTAAACTAAATTGAAAATATTTTCAATACCACCCTATGCACTATCCCAGTATTTTGATGCTGATTATAGCCAATTCGGGGCACGAACGTAGACAGGAAATTTGTAAGAAAGAGGGGAACCTGAGTTCTAAATAGCGTTTCAAGCTACAAAAAATTACTATGTTATTATAGAAGAATGCTTTTTCCACATTTCAAACATGGGTTCTGACCCACAAACCCCTGGATGCAGGAACTTCATTAGCAAAGGTAAAACACAGAAACGCTTTTTAGAAAAATAAGTCAAATTTGATTGAAATTCAAATAGACACCAGCTTAAAGTCATGTCAAGTAAACAGGCAAACCGCTGCATTCAGCTATCATATTGCAGTAGACACCAAGATATAGTGGCACTCAATTCTGTGTACTCTAGAATCAAAGTGCCTCCGCATATACAGCTCATAGAATATTTTGTTTAGGCAAGGGCATTACCAGTCCATTTCGAATATGGAAATAGTTACTAATTTACATGAACATAATAGAAAACGCCAAAACCAACCAGCGGTTATGTGAAGTTGTTACTTATCGATTTTAATGGGTAAGTATGTTGATTGGTATTTGTCTGTCTGTCTGTCTGTTAGATGCACGCGATATCTCACGAAAGCGAGATTGAATCTGCTCCAGATTTTGCATGTGCATTCATCATATGTCGTACCAAAAGCCTATTGATTTTGGATGAATTATGTCGTATAATTAGCGAGTTATTAATTAATTAGTGATGAGACACAAGGTGTCACTATGGAGTAAGAGCGCTGTTCTGGGGGAACCCTAACTTTCGATCGATAAGTGTTCGGTCTCTGACCGATATTCTTGTTTTTTTGAATTGCTCAGAGTTAGTTTGCAACCAGAAATGATGATTCCTAGTAATTTTAAACAGACTGACATATACATATTATTAATTTTACTCCTAATGCTGTTCTGTAAGCTAACAGTGTGAACAAAGAACTTAAAAATAATATGCGACCGAGATAACAATATCTTGTATAGGGTCAAACTTGTGGTCAGTTACACACAGTTAAATTTTCTTTTGTACCGTGTATCATCACATATCTATCACATATTATAAGCCGACCCCCTAAAAACGCCCCTAAAACGGTAAATTTATAAAAATTATATAAGGATAATAAAAGCATATAAGGACCGATCAGAGTTATGTATAAGACGACCCCTTAAACTTTTTTTTTGAGTTTTAAACTCGACTTATATGTGAGGATATACAGCGGGGGTCGGCAACCTACGGGCCTGCGGGCCGGATCCGGAGCAATATAATCCGGCCTGCGACGCTTCACTTAATTATAGGAACAAATTATAGCTGTTTTGCCGATTATATTCTTTACGCAAAAGAATTTACGTGTAGACTAAATTATATTATAAGGTAACAAGTATATAATTCACAATTACTTGTTTAAATGAGCCTATAATTTAATTATAATTTAGACAAATGGCAACAAAAAGCAGAAAAGTTGATGCTAAGTGCAAATGGTTTAATGGCCCAAAAAATATTCAAATAGTCAGTCTTCGCGCGCTGCTTAAAATTTACCTTCTGATCTGTGTGATAAAATGTGATTAATCAGTCATCCATTCGATTTTTAATGTTCTAAAAATATGTGCGGCCCGCAAGCGAAAAAAGGTTGACGACCCCTGATATACAGTATGTAAGTACGGGACCCTGCATTTTTATGACAACACAGGTTACAGGTAGAGAAGTTGCAAGAAATACAGTTTGACCAAGAACTGATCCCATAAATTTCTTAATTACTTGAAAAAAAATTATTTGACACTTGAATTTCTGTTTTTGTATGATTGTACCCAAAAGACATCGCAACTGATCTGGTCTGTCCATTCTTGCGTATTTGGTTATTCGATTGCGTCATTAAAATTGTGCAAGCTAACGACGTGCACCAGTACGATCGCAGTTTTAACAAGTTTACAATGTGGTTAAATTCCAAATTTTCAACGAAATCTTAATGAGGCTAGCTAAGTTGTCACCAACGTGATGGTTGTTGGGTATTGAAACCTATTACATTTTACTATTCGGGACTCACTTAAAAAAACTTTGCAGATCACTGCCCTAGCGTTTGAAGCGTTGAACTTAACTGTGTTAGCATCGCAAATTAGAATGTGAAATATTCAGTAGGTATTGCCGTACTGAAAAGATATCAGTTTTTCCGAATAATAATGCTTCTTAAAGTCTTAACATATCATTAGATATCAGTGGCTGCGTCTATAAGGCCTTGTTTGGAGCAAAAAAGAGTGATTAAACAGCTTATAAAAATATCCAGAGATAGAATGGAAACCAAGGAACAAGACCGGAAAGCATAGAGAAAACAAGTCAATTGCAAAATAAGTGAAGCCACATAATATTCACATAGAAATTTTAACTCACAATCCAGTTTCAGATCGACCATATTTATTACAAGATTTTATTTGTGTTTTATACGCAAATGTGTGTTTAAAGTATATTGCTGGGAAAATCGCTTTTCACACAAATGGCATCCAAACGGTTTTTCACCATTATGTGCAAGTGTATGTCGATGTAAACTGTATAATTGAGTGAAACATTTCCCACATGGTTCACATACATATGGCTTTTCACCAGTATGAGTCCGGATATGTTTACGTAAAGTCGATTGTAATGCGAATCGTTTGTCACATTGTTCACAAGAAAATGGCTTAACACCAGTATGAGTAACCATATGTCTACTTAAACATGATTGGTGTGTAAACGATTTCCCACATTCTTTACAAAAATGTGGTTTTTCACCAGTGTGTATCATTTTATGTTGCTCAAAACGAGATGAATATTGGAATTCTTTCCCGCAAATGTCACATTTATATTTCTGTGTTGAATCTGTTTGTTCAAAAGATTTAAATTCGTCACCGGAAGAGTCTGATCCAAGAGTATATCCATGGGTGTGCACTGTCATATGTTTAGTCCATTCAAAAACTGATAAAAAATCCCGATTGCAACGAAGGCAAGAAAATTTCATGATATCAGAGGTTTCAACAAAACCCTGAGTATTTTCTTCATTTTGATAATCAATACTATGACTTGCGTCATTGTCAGACCCAATACTGTCAAAGATTTTCTGACCTTTGACCCCATCTTTTTCAAGCCCAAGGTCATCATAGTTTTGCCGTTTAACTCCACTTTTATTGTGATCGCTAATAATTATTCCATTAGATATCTTAGTACTGCTATCTCCGCAATGATTAACATTGTTTTTAGTTATTCCTGGTTCCATATCACTGAAACCAAGCTAGGGGTTTATTTTCGGAAAATAACTGAAAAAAATATAAGATAAAGCATTATTTTTGATTAATAGGATTTACATTCATCCCGGGGGAGAGGAGAGCCGATAAGACGGCTTAACCATATGGCGAACCACGGCCTCTCGTCCAGTTACAATTCCATGTCGGGTATGGGATTAGTTAGTTATTTGTTTTTGGAAGCATGGACTTGATGGTAGAGGAAGCCTTAACCGACCAGCGGTTACGTGAACCACCCTACGACGGCGAGGAGTCCAGCAATCCTCTCGTATATAACCATCCCCACATGGGATTCGAACCTGCAAACCCATGCAGAATACAATAATATGAACAAAAGTAAAAGTGTTGCCTAGCGGTTAAAGTGTTAGACTCAGCTAGTAGTTAGACCTCACCCATGGACATGGTGTAATACAGCAATTCTCAAACTTTTTTTGCCCTGGAAAACCTATGCTTTCTATCTCGCACCGCGGAACACTAAGAAATTATAAGGTAAAATTGATGTGTGGTTACCAAATTAATCAGCCTATGGTAAAATCAGAGAGTGTGCTGCAAACAAACTGTCGGTTAATAGGATTTAAATATTTATCCAGAGGAAGAGAAAAACTGATAAGACAGCTTAGTTTAACCATGTGGCGAACCACGGCCTCTCGTCCGGTTACCATTCCATGATGGGTACGGGATTAGTTAGTTGTTTTTGGAAGTATGGACTTGATAGCATAAACCACCCTACAGCGGCGAGGAGTCCAGGGAACCGGACTGTCCGCCTGATTAGATAGCAAGGCCTGTTTGTCTTCAGTTGGGAGACAAATTTATGACCCAGTAGCACTGAAGTACGCTAATTCTGAAACTTTTCTATTGCAGTTACCTATATCCAATTAATTGCCAATAAATCCAATCATAGATGCCTCCCAGAAGCAAAATTGTATCCTTTGACCAAATCCATTAGCACAAAAAGTCTTTTAACCTACAGGCTACAGTAATAAAGCTGTAAATAAATCTGAAAATACAACAATTTGATTATAATATGATGGATGTGTACAGACATTGCATGCATTACATAACAGAGAAACATGCATCAACATTCAGATTCAGTATAATTAAAATAATTAAAAGGTAAAAAATGAAATAAAACGCTGCAACAAAAACATTTTTAATAGAACTGCCCAAGGTCATAAAAAGCCTGTGCTATTAGGCTAACAGATAAAGATTAGTCTGGGAAAATATGCCACATAGAAAAGCATAGAACCGACTGGAAACATAAAAAAGAAAACTGTTGATAGCGGGCCTAAGATAAGTTTGGCGATAAGTATTTGGAGGTACAATTTTTTTACGCCTACTTTACATCAAGTTTTGAAACCTATGGGCAGGGGTATATTCACTTTGCTAACACAGATAGTCCTTGAACTCGTAATAGAACTAAAATCATGGCCTAACCCTGGTACACATACTACGGGAGTACCAAATGTTTCAAAAAGAAAGTAAAGATCAGATAAAAAAGAATTTCAAGTCAGTACAGTTGGGAAAAAACTACAGACAATAGATGTTTTCAAGTAAGTTCCATAGTATTAATCTATAATTCAATTAGAGCTGAACACTTCATGGAGAGTAGATTTGAAAAATAATAAAGCTAGGATAAATTCAATGTTTCAAACAGAGGGGAAAATATTGGACGAGAAAGATATGGCAGCAAAACCACTGACCTTTAACCCTGGAAACAGAAAAATTGAGCTGGAAATAGTAGAATAATTTAAAAGTGACTATAGGCTTTAAAATTCGCTGGAGACAATGAAATGAAACTGGCACTACTGTGCCTAGGAGAAAATCAATTTTTCATAATGAAGGGGTAAAATTTGTCTGTGACAAATATACAGGATGTCCATAAAGTTAACTTCATACTAAGGTATATCTCAATATATCTTAACCAGTTTTTTTTTAATCAGTAATTGTTATTTTTAGAGAACCAAAACAATATATGGTATCGATAAATTCATTTTGTAATTAAAAAAAATTTCAAGACTTTATGGACACCTTATATAACTTTTGATCCACAATTTACGAATTGGAAACATTATTGAGAAAAAAAGTATTCAATATTTCAAATAGAAGGGGAAAATATTGGTTGAAGAGAGACTTGAAGCATTTCAAGTCAACAAAGCCAGAAAAGCAACAGGAAAAATTGATATCCAGAAATTCAAAATTATCACGTCAAAATTTCACAGACAGACAATGAGATGAAACTGATACAAACTAGCAGCGTATTTTTGATACTTGACTTGAAACAACAAGAAAGAATTTTTTTTTAGTAAATCGTTTTATAATTTGAAACTTATGCCAAAATTCAATTGACAAGCAGGAACAGGAGCCTAGTCAGGAATTTTCAAGGGGGGTTCTGAAATGTCTAATTGCCAAGTTAGACTGTAACAGCTAGCGAGCTCGGCTGGATGTTCGAAAACGCAAGTTTTGGAAGAGATTTGAGGGTCTAAAAAGCGTTAACAGCTACGAAAAATTGCTATTTTGATACAGAAAATATTTTATCCTCTTTACATGTTAAAAGAGGGGGGTTCAGATTAAAATTGTGTTGAATAATCAGCAGTGAAAACGATAGTAAATATATAAGATAAGAATGAAAAAGAAAGTACCGTAGTTTAATATATATAAAGAACAAAAACAGAAAAGCCAACTTAGTGGATCGAATATCAAGATAAAGTCATAACAGAAAATATCAGTCGGAGACCGAAGACTTATCGATCGAAAGTTAGGGGAACTGCGGTTTCGATTCATGACTCTATAGTGACACCGTGTGTCCCATCACTAATTAATTATTAACTCGCTAATTATACGACATAATTCATCCAAAATTAATAGGCTCCTGATCCGAGATATTATGAATGCACATGCAAAATTTGAAGCAGATTCAACCTTGCTTTCGTGAGATATCGCGTGTATCTAACAGACAAACAAACAAACAGACAAATACCTATCAACATACTTACCGATCTTAAGATCGATAAGTAATAAGAAAAGATTGTAACCTACCTAACTGGAATTAAATATGTCAAATTTTACTCAGATTTCAATATTAAATTTTAGAAGCAAGTAAATAAATACATGAAGTTCAGGAACCACTGGTCTAGTGCCCCATTCTTAGTGAAGAAACACAAATTTCGATAGAGTAGAGAATGATGAAAATCAGTATTTTTTTTCGATTCAAAATACAATTCTTTAACATTAGGAATCCGTACAACCGTGCATAAACGCCAAGTTGAAAACTAAAAAAAAACGTCAAACTAAGGGGCCGGCTGATATGTGAGATCAGCTTATATGCGATAATGAAAACAGTGGCAGTTCTTGCGGTAACCGTTGAATGAGCTGTCCATGACCCAAATACATAAAATATGGTACTCCCATAGTATGTGAACCAAGATGGCGGATTTACCAAACCAGGTTAGGGTTAAGCAATAATTTTGGGTATAAATACTACGCGAGTCACTTGGCTAGTCCCCAAACTCGTAAAAGAACTAAAATAAGGAAAATTGGAATCAATTATGGCCTAACCTGGTACATATACTATGTTCCGATGTCTGCCATACTACAGGAGCGCCAAAAATATATCAGTCATAAATATATGGCAATGGCGGCATCAGTAATCAATATAGTCAAGCTAATAGAATACCTGAACAGAACTAATATTTTCATAAATATTATTTTGAATAAAATGTAGGTTTGGGCTTAATCATGGACATGGTGAGGGAATTGTTAACCCATATAAATGCCTTTTTATACATAAACTGTCTGATTAGAATTTTTAACTTGATTGGGAAAAATCAGAGTTCTGACAAGGGCCACACTAAATTGCTTGGTGGGCCGGGCCGTGGCCCACAGGTCGCCTGTTGCAAATCCCTGACTTAGCAGTTATAGCATTTCGGACTCAAGTATGTTGGAAACTGGAAAGATCTGTCATTTTTGTACAGTGGTTCTCAACCTTTTGTGTTTCGTGACCAATTTTTGTTGCACAAAAAATTCCTGTGGCCCATTAACTTTCTCATACAAGGAAAAAACCACAAAAAAAAATATTCTTTTCGCAAATATTGTGAATTATCACTCAGTAGCTAAAACTGCATCATCATTCATTGCCAATACAATCATAATTGACTACAGTAACACAAATACAACTAGCAATTTTTACTGGGATTGTGGTTAAGCGCAAAATCTTTCTGGAGCCCAGAAGCAGGTACGGGCCCACTGGTTGTGAACCGGTGATCTAGTAGAAAAGTAGATAATGCCTGCTTCTGTAGATCTTGTTCCAAGTGAAAAAACCTCATAAAAAATGAAGAAAAAAAATTATAAAATACAGCATTACGCAAACTGACTAGACAACAACATGATTATCAGTGTTAGATAATATAATAGCAGTAATAGGCAACTTAAAACGCCAATATTTCACAACATTTTAATGTGCAAATATGGCCCAGCAGGACCATGGAAGTACCTAATTGAATAGTTAACACTCCAGAAGTGTGTGTACCAATATGGAGTTAACTAATTTTGTTCGCCTACTTTACATCAAGTTGTGTAACGGGACTGAACTCGTAACTCTTAATATAACTAAAATAAAGGAAATTCAAATATAATTATGGCCTAACCCTAACCTGGTACACACACTACGGGAGTACTTTATATTTAAGTATTTTATATTTATTATATTTTACAACTCATGTTGTTCATTTGTTGCTCAACTGTTCATTTTTAAAATTATTTTGCAGTAAAATCACGATGACAATGAAGTAGCAAGTTTTACAATAAGTTAGTGAGTCTGATAATAAGAGTTCTTGAACATCGCTTAATATAGCATTACTTTACTTTTTAGATAGAAGTTACATGTATCCCAGGATAGGAAGACATAAACACAGATCTAAGTTTCAACAGTTTTTTTTGCAGTGGTTTAAGATATGTCTTTCCAAGTTTGGTTGGCGTGTGAAGGTCTTACCACAGTCTATACAGGTATATGGTCTAAGTCCACTATGTGTTCGAATATGGTCACATAAAGTTGATTGTAGCGTGAAGCAACGTTTACACTGGGGGCATTCGAATGGTTTTTCCCCTGTGTGTATGCGCATATGTGCTCTAAGATTGCACTGTTGTGTGAAGCCCTTCCCGCAATCTGGACATTCAAACGGTTTCTCGCCAGTGTGGGTCAAAAAATGGCGTGTCAGATCAGAAGATTGATTGAAACCTTTGCCGCAATAGGAACATGTAAATGGCTTCTCACCTGTGTGAATTCGAACATGGGTAGCTAAGTTGGCTTTTCGAGAAAAAAATTTCCCACAATAGGTGCAAGGGAACGGTTTTTCGCCAGAATGGCTGATCATGTGAGCTTGTAAATTCCCTCTGCGACTGAAACATCGGCCACACGTCTCACAAGAAAATGGCTTTTCGCCAGTATGAGTCTGCATATGAACCCGTAATGTATCTTTACGTGAAAAAGACTTATGGCATTCAACACATAAATAACACTTATCTTTCATTTTTTTCTTTATTTTACGCTGTGTTTTCTTGAAAACTTCTTCATAATTTTTCAGGGGCATTCCCGGGTCTAATTCTTGACACTTGGCTACAGATTTTTCAAAATTTGTGGTACTGACAATGTCGTCAAAAACATGCGTCGCTGTGTGCTGTCTCCACTTTAATGCTGAAGCGAAATCTTTATCACAGTGTAGACATGAATATTTTATAGCATCTGTCACAGCCTCGTTTTCTTCTTTAATACCCACTTCAGACGACTCATTTTTATTTTTCTGTGAAGTATGACTAGTTGATGTCGTCCCTTCTGTTTCTAAGTCCTCATTTCTTTTGAAATTTGAGGGAAATTTATCAGTTTTTCTCAAAGAATCATATTTTAGAGTACCTATCGCTGGCACTGTTTCTTCTTCCATATTATCATCAGAAGACTCGCTTATATCATCCCGTGAAATCGACTCTTCTTCAAAACCCATTGTAATATCTGGAGAAATATTACATGTTTTTCTCATTAAATCAGTATAAAAATTTTCCTTTTCCACAATAGACTGCAATTCTTCTTCATAATCATCCATTCTTGCTTTATTATCATCCTCCAATGTGGATTTCTCATTTTGAACACTGTCATTATCCGTAACAGTTTCCTCTTTGGCCACATCCAAAGTGGTTGCTCCATTTTCAATATTCGACGTGCATTTTGAAGTTGAATACCCATCTTCACTATCCCCAATTACTCCATTGCGTTTAGTTCGTAAATCCATTGAAAATTGATAGCTAATAATACTGAAATATCTATTTAAAATGAAGAGAAAAAAAAATCGAATTATTAAAATTAGCCATTAGATGGTGATAGGATTTTCGTATATATCCTGGGTTGTATGGTGAACCATCACTTTAACCCTTTCCATGCGATTTTTATTTTTTATTAAATAATCGTATTTGCTACACCGATTTTATGCATTTGTACCCCACAACTAATCGATCGACTAACGAAAAACTAATGATCCTCTGCTGCCCACTGATGGCTCGTTGTAAAGCTTATATAAAGAGCTTGCATATAGCGATTAAAAAAAAAAGTATTTTTAAAAGTGGTGGTCTGAGTCACAAACCGGATAGAAAGAAGGCATTTTTTTTCTTGGGAGTTGAAACTCCGAACCGTGATAAAAAATAGAAATATTCGCTAAATCCTTTACTGTTACCGCTTCGTGGTTGGCAAACAATAGCATAATATTGCTGCAGCAATTTCGTGATCTAACTCAAAATACTTTGGTAGATGGAAGGGTTCGATTTACCGTCGCTTATGTAAATCTCGAAGAAGACTTCTTATCAATAAACTAAAACCCGGAAAAACTAGACAAACAGTTTGCGACTGATTGCTAAATAAAACAGTGGAGTACATCAACCAAGAACGTAGCCAGCACAAAATCTGGTTTTTGTATAATGACATAATATGACCCTCATTCCTTTTTCTTCTTTGAACAAAGTCAGATAAAGTAGCCACTGCAAATGTCGCAAAATTGCATTAAAAAATATGTTGGGACTTTGAAGCACGAAGCCATGGCACCTCAGCCACCCCCTGGCTGTGCCTATGGTTTGACGCCTATTGGTTAGACCCCATGCCACGTTACTCAAAACATAGCTGTCAGTATACTACCAAGAAATCTCAAGCCATATGGACATATAAAGCCTCCCCAATCTTGGGCATTTAATGGCCTTGTAATTACATAAGATTTATTAGGTTGCCATTGCAGATTGAAACACACTTTAAATAAATTAACAATGTATAATAGCATAAGATCACTATTTGCTTGCAAATAGACAAATAAAAGTCCAAAAAACAAGGATTAAAGACAACTGCAGATTTGAACCAAAAATAGGGAAGATTTCTGTTCTGTTTTTTTTCTAGCAACTACCCTGTATATTGACTAAAACGTGCGAGGATGTACTCAAAAAAATAAACGTTGGTATCAGGCTAAAGCGTGTACAAAACTGACAGTTCCAAAATGAAGCAGAAATAATAAATCTTTTGAGTTTCCCATATCTTCATAACGACCTCAATCAGCATAAACAAAAGCAATTAGGACCCTAATCCTTTATTCAAAACCCAATACAAAGGATTACACTAAGAGGATAATCTGTTCAAGCTGAATTATACACTTATTCAGTCTGGACAGGAAAATTACAGACATTTATTTTCCATGACATTTTTTCAAGCAACAACTAAAAAAATCAGTAACAAATATGTAGGATGATACTAGAATGATTTTTAGGATAAGACCCATAGTCTCCAGTTTTGCTGAGGCAACCCTATTTTTTACAATCGGGATGAAGTCATAAGCCGAAGATCTGATATCAGATATATATAAACTTTGTTGTTAACAGGGATAGTTATAGTGCGCTAACTGCTAGGTTTGGTTCTCGAAGTGCACGGTATGGAGCCCTAGGGCTCCGTAAGAGAAATTCAGTGGCTCAACGAGATTGTCGTTTACTTCTTAAAATAATGAATTAGCTAATTTTGTAACTGTCCAAAGAAGCAACAACAGCTAATAATAAAATTTGACATCGATAGCGATAATCCAAATATAACATTATCAAAAGTTTCAATGATTGAATAATGCTATATTTCAATTACCTCCTCATTGCCACATTTCAACACTACTTTATTAATATTATGTTTGTCAATGGTAAAATTTAATTGTGAGACACCGTAACTAATAGTCAACCTTTTCCACGGGCTCCATAGCGCCAAAAGTTCAAGAACCCCTCACCTTGACACTCTAATCATAATTTGACTTTATTATTATGACTACTTTAGCAAGAATACAATAAATCTATTATTCTATAAGTTAGAAAGATAACTTTATTAAATAACACTTAAACAATCATTTGATCTCATTGCTTAGACACCTGCAATGCCAGCATATGTTGTTACAACATGCTAACTGCTAGTCCACCAGTTTCACATTAGTCGAGCCATATTGCATTTATTCAATAAAAATACAAAGAAACTATCAAATGCCAATAATGAGGCTTACCATAGTCCCATATGGCAGTCATAATTATTTTTTAAATTGTTTTTATCATAATCACTATATGTTTACTTCGTCAATTTAACATTAACTGTACTGCCGATTAAATCATTCAAAATGCGCAAAAGAAGGTACACGTTTTCCAATGATTTGAACATTACTAAGCCTTGAATTCGAACCAAGGTTTGTCAAATTTGCGCTGTTCCAGTTTTCTGTTTCCTATATATGGTAAGCCTACCAAAGAGGGAAGAGATAGGGCATTTTGTATTGAACTGCAAGCCCTTGCAATTGTCTACTTTGTGTCATTATCGAAGGCCGTATCCAGAAGAATGCTTGAACGAGACAGTATTAAAGTATTGAATAATAATAACATATTCTCTTTCTGTGAAAAAGCAAGCGAACAAGAGAAATTGCTGTTGGATTAGGTTATAACTTGTTTCTTCTGAAGAAGAACTATGATGCAATGAAAGCTAACAAATGTAATTGCTATTTCATGGAAAGAGATTTATGTTCTTCTTATTTTAACTAATAGACGTTAGAAAAATACTATTAAATAATGCATAGATATAAACTATTTCTACTGCTTAGCCATATTTGTGTAAATCTACTAAATGATATTTTGCATATAGCCACTACCTTTTGATACAGCTCTATCCCAAGGGGTTTAATCAATAATACAGGCAGCCATGACAGCCTTTGCTGGTTGTGTCCCTTGAGGCTACACATTATCCACTGACATAATGCCAAAAAGGTTTATTAAGACTATCAAAATAAAGGAAACAGCAGAATTTTATTCTTTATTGGCCATTTTATTTTATATTCTGTTTTATATAATCTTAACTCCGTTGGCATATAAGGTTAGTGGTCTTGAGTTCGAGTTTAGTCCATGCCTACTATCTTTTCCAATGAAGGGTGTAAAAAACAAGTAGGCTTAATTGAAAAAACCGGGAATTTGGGGGGGCGTGCTAGAAGCCATCAAAATGGGGCTACAAGCAGTCGCGTATCTACGCAAAATGGCGCCCATGGCAAAGTCTAAAAATGGGCCCCCGTGATAGTTGTTTGGCAATTTATAATGAATTGAGATACTTGTATGTTATTATTTGAGCAAAAATATGAGTTTCAGTTATTCCCAATTTAAAATTAGTTTATATAAACTTTTTATGACTAATACTCTTTTGCTGTTTTTGCGCCCCTGTTCAATCGGCGCCCATGGTATAAGCCATGGCTGCCACACCATAGAAACGCCACTGGCTACAAGCCATACAAGGTTGAGCAGCACTGAATTGAATCTAAATTTGAATTAATTTTTTATAAGGCATATTGCACCCTTGCCCTTGCTGTAAGAATCAACTATTCTTGATCTTTAACAATAGGCATTGACAACCTAATTTATTACAACATGAGCATGGGATAAACAATTTACTAGAATAAACTGACTAACTTTTCTTTGTTTAAAACAACATGACCCAAGAGGATTTTCAGGCTTAGGGTCGAAGCCATAGACTGGGAAACACTGGACAAACAAAAATAAGTAGGTCATCATGTTGTCTCTTTGACAATTATGATAAAAAAAATTCAATTTTAATCCAACGCCTGAAGATTGTTACTAGCTATTGTTATAAAACAAAACACTTTATACATTATTATTTATTAAATTAGCTTCTCTCACTCCCTATTTTGTCTTTTGGAAGGAGTTGCTAGTATATATATGTTAAATGAATTAAACGTATCTCACAATCTCAGCGACAAAACCCAATAAGAAGGATAGGATTCACATATTCATGTATGTATGTATGTTCATTCGTCTCGTAAAAGCATAGAAGACGGGATGTATACACAAGACCATACTGGCCTAAACACATGAAAGTGTGGTATACACCCCCTATGATAAGCATAAAATATAATAATATGGCCCTTGATACAGACAGTTGTGCAAGGAGGGTGGATGAGTAGCAATATAGGCAACAGGGGTAAGGGTGGAGTATGCCCAACTGTTTGTCCAAAGGAGTTGGTAGGACAAGACAACATCAATAAATAGAGACAATACAACATGGAATATAATACATGTAAACATAATAATAAAATTTGGACATATACTAAATATAGCACCCTTGAGTTCATCTCGCAGGAGAGAAAAGCGAATCAGCTCCAGTTACCAGGCATGTCGGGTATTGGGTCAGTTAGCCAGTTATTTTGTTTTCAGATACATAGACTTGATGGAAAAGGGAGTTGTAACCGAGCAAAGCGAAGCCACGCAGGGTAATCAGAGGTGCGGTGGTGAACGTATTCCTAGCGCCCAACTCGATGCATCACACCACTTCCCAGCTACGGTAATATTCAATATATTGTATTTTGGGATGCAAATTAGTTTAGAATATATTCTACATATGAAAGTATTTTTTTCAGAATATTAACATTCTTTTCAATTAATCATTAAAAATATTATATGCTGACCGAACAACCAAATTTTATTTGGAGTGAGTACAATAAGCAACAGAGCTTAAACAGCAAAAATCACAAAAAATTCAGTTTATACAAAAACCTAATTTGTTGACAAACATAAATTCTGGAAAGTAATCTTTTTACACTATGTGATGCACAATCAGAACAGCAGTTATGTGAACCACCCTATGGCAATGAGGAGTCCAGCAACACTCTCGCACATATTTATCCCTGCATGAGGTCGCAGGTTCAAATCCCATCATTTCCCATTCGAATCAGAGGTATGATAGCAAGTGTATTCTTAACACGCAG